ATGGTGGACTTGCGGAGCAGGATGGAGCCGCCGCTGCCGCCAAACTGTCTAGGGAACACGCTCTACGGAGCCAGCGTTCACTACGAGGCCGCGAAAGACGGAACCGTCGTAACCGCCGTTCAGTTGGTGCAGAGGATACGCGATTCTCTCCGAGCTGTGAACGACGGCGCGGCGAGGAAGATGTACGGCGAAGGAGGGTTGTTTCGTGCGGTGTTGGGCAGAGGTGATGATGAAATAGTGCCCAACAAAGATCCCGGTTGTACAACGTTGTACACAAGCAGTCTGTGTAGACAACCGTTTTACGAAGTTGATTTCGGGTGGGGGAAGCCAAGAATGGTGGTGAATACGCTGAATAATTCAACGGTGCTTTTCTTAGACGCCATTAATGGAGCAGTAGAAGTTTGGATGGTATTGCCTAACCAAGTTATGCACACATTAACGCAAAACCACCACTTTCTTGCTTATGTTTCTCCCTTTCCTAAACCAAAGCTATGAATGAATTTACCAAGACACACGGCAGAGAGGTAGTAGGCGTGGGTGAATCAATTGCTCTTTCTCCATCCTTTTTCTTCGGCGTATGGAGACAGCAAGTGAAGATTATTTTGCCTAGTTTTTGTAGGTGGTTCTTGGTTGCTTTCTTCATCAAATACTTGTTCGAGGTCACTTTATTTGTTTTAGGTATTTTGAGTATTCTCGTAATATTTGTATTTTTTTTATCGTGGGTGTAGGTGTGGTTGTGGTTGTGGTTGTTGAATATTTTAAGTTCGAGTTAGTATCATTTTTAGGCATGTAGAACATAATAAAAGTCTTCCGCCTAGAGTTACGTTGTTGTATTTGATGATTTTTGGAGGTTTAGCTCATGTGGTAGCTTGGAACCTTATACCCAAGATTTGTTATAGTGCAAACTTTGTTGGTGGTGGTCCTGTGATTTTAGGGTTTTCGACGTAAATTAAGTGTATCGGTGTGTTGACATTTATTTTGGGCTATTGGGCTATGGTGTATTATCTCGTATTTGTGCACCCTGTTGGGTTTGTGATTTTCATTGTCACAGGAAGTGGGATTTGTCATAACACTTTATGCTATTGAATCATGAGTAGTTAGTTTTTAGACTTAGTTAGGGATGTAGGATGTTTTTGGAGAATTTTTTGCTACAATGAAAATTGGCCCGGTTAAGGATTTTAGTTTCCCCTTGCATAAACCCAATTTGCTCCTATGAAAGTAGGGTAAATTGAGGATTTTAGATGTTTTGTGTGCTTGATGGACTTGGAATTGATACACCATGAGATCGAGTGAGGCAATTCCCTTATTAGCTTGTTTTAATCCTTGTTTATTGATTATGAAAGTGGTTAGTAGACTAAGATACCTATGTGCTTTCCCGCTTGATTCTTTGGTTATTTGTTCTTCCTAATCTCATCGGTTGTTGAAGCATCTAGAAGATAATGCTCCCAGCTTGAGTCCTAACTCTTTATTTTTTGTTTATCTTTATCTATATGTGTTAGTCTTACCATTGTCAAACTCGTTGTTTGCTTAGCTTCTTGTTAATTTCCTAGTGCTAGTGCCTAGTTGCTTGTAATTGCATATTACGTGCCATAGCTCTCAATCCCCCGAGGACGACTACACCTATACACTCACTATCATTATTTTCGCTACATCACTAACCTTATCGAGTTGTTGGATATATCGATTCCAGTTAATTAATCGTTTTTTTATCAAGTTCAAAATTTTTGGCCCTAACCATAAAAAATCGGGCTACCGAGCTTATCTAGCGCGCTCAACTAGAACTTTTAACATTTTCAAATTAACATTCTAAACTTTCAATTTTAATAAACTAGCACACCTACACTAATAAACATAAACTTATACATCATTCAATCAATCTAAACCTCCATTTTCAAATTCTAAATAAAAATAATTAATATATGCTTACACTATAATATAATATTTATAATAAGTTTTATTTTTCATTATTTATTTTCATAAAATATTTTATTTTCTAATAAATTTATTAATATATTTTTAAAATTTTATTTAAAAACTTATTAAAAAATACGGAGTACTAAAGATTAACTTCATATAAAGTCTATGTATATTTTGTTTTACATCCCTCATGTAACAAATAATAACTTTGAGTGACTTGAACTATCGGGCTAGCTCACTAAATTTTGACTTAGGTCGTTTGGACCATCTCATTTATCAGCCGGGCTGATTTTTTATCAGGCTAAAATATTTTGCCTTTTAACTTTAAAATTTTTTGATCTTATCCGACCAATTCATCTGTTCTAAATTAAAATTGACATCCTAAATCAAGGACCTTGTGGTCTATTGGTACCAAGTTGCTCTCTTATGTGCACGTGGGAGATAGTTAAGTTTGAGTCTTGGTGGAGGTGATTATAATATAGTAATAGGTTGTATATGTGGATATATCATCTTCCCTTGTAATAAATAAAAATAAAAATAAAAAATTGACATCCTAATGCCAACACATTTATCGACAAATAAATAAACAATGCTGCCGTGATGACATACTCCATATAAAGTAAATATTAATAATCTCTACTACTAGGCTATTATATAGTTTAATAGATTAACGTTATTTGTGTTGGATTCGTACGCCTTAATTTAACAATGATGGGTGGTTAGTGTAAGTAGCTTTGTGATGTAGTGATTGGTTATGATAATAAATTCAAGGACATATATATATATATATATATATATATATATATATATATATATATATATATATATATATATATATATATATATCCTTAAATAAAGGAGGGATACTTCGCAAAAATGGTAAGTAAAAAAAAAAAACCGAAAAGCAAAATAAATAAAATTGTTGATATTACGCGCCAATTGGGCGCCTAACACGCACCTGCAACAAACAAAGGTTTTTTATTTTATTTTATTTTATTTTTTATTTTTTTATTTTTTGTAAGAAACCTTCAAAAACATGAAAAAACTTCTGATGTGCTTGCTCTTATATTGTAAAAAATAAAAATATGTGGGGAGTTTAGCATTGCTCTTTATAATACATTTTTTGAGTGATTAGAAAAATCTGCACTACCTAAGATTGTGAACTAAGTACAACTTGTATTGAGAAATCAATTAGCTGAAATTGCTCATAAGTAACCAATTTAAACTAAAAATATAAGCAACACCTGCAAATAATCAAACTTCAAGTCTTATATTATTACTAGTTTTTTACGCGCATTGCGCGATTGGGATAATGCTCAATATTATTATTTTATTTAAATAAGTACTTTAAAGTATATCAAGGTAAAATTATATTGGAATTGTAGATAATTGAATGTTAAATTTGTGTATTTAAATAGATAATTCTAAGTTTACAAATGCAAGATAATATAGTCAAGATTGATTATAATTGTCAATAAAATAATTGTATAGATATGGTTGAAACCAAATACGGGACATAAGGGAGAGCAAATAAAAATTAGGGCATAAAATATTAAATATATACTAATATTGAAGAGCTAACTGCTGATTGCCAAACAAGGACATTGCGAAATAGTTTCACACTTCAATTTGTTGTGTGATTTAAATACTCTTTTTGTCAATAAATTTTCAAGTAGTTAATATGATTGGCTTAATTATATTTTGTTATTTTGTTATTTTTTTAAAACAATTATTATTATTATTATTATTATTATTATTATTATTATTATTATTATTATTATTATTATTATTATTATTATTATTATTATTATTATTATTATTATTAAATATATGTATACCCTTAGGTCATTTTACATGTTAATCTAAACAGCTTTTTTCAAATATCTTTTTACCAACCGTTGATATAATTCGCTGGTCAAATTCGCTAATATAATCCGCTAACGCTAATCGTTAACTGTTGATTGTCAAACAAGGACATTGCGAGATAGTTCTTGCTTCAATTTGTTGTGTGATTTGAATACTCTCTTTGTCAACAAATCCCCCAAGTAGTAAATATAATTGGCTTTATTAATTATATATATATTTTTTTAATTTTTTCATGGTATTAATAAAATACTTGGTAAATAAACATATAGCATTATTTTGTATTATAACTTTGATATTTAATTAAAAAATAGTGCACAAAAAAGATAATAGACAATGTAGTGAATATAATCAATTGATGAATTTGAATGTAAAGAATTTTAAATTTTTACATTGGAGAAATATAGAGACAATATAACTAATAAAATTATTTCTCTTAATTAATTTATTGATAATGAATAATTTTTTTAATAAAGACATTGTAGGGACAATGTAGCGAATATAATCAATTGATGAATTTGAATGTAAAGAATTTTTATATTGGAGAAAAATGAATACAATATAACTAATGAAATTATTTCTCTTATTTAATTTATTGATAATGAATATTTTTTTTTTTAAAATAAAGTCATTGTAGACACATAATTCTAAATTAAAGAAATGCATATGTATTATTTTTTGTTGTAGCTACTAAATTATTATTTTAATTTAATAAGAGTAAAATAGAGTACTAATTATGCCAACTTTGATTGGGATGTGGTTCGAACCTAAGACCTTTCTTATTGAAATCAATGAGTAAGTTAACGGTGAATTAACCGAAATTAACGGAAAAATTAATATTTAACGGAAAAGTTAACGAAAAATCATATTCATTAAGGATAAATTAGTAAATCTTAAGGAAAAATTAAAATCTGATCAATCTGAGTCATTCATTTGATTAAAAAATTTGACCGTCATTTTTTCTACCCATTATAGGTCTAACACTCTTGGCTCTTATTAGTATATATATATATATATATATATATATATATATATATATATATAGTATAGTAGATAGTAGATATATATCAGGCTAACCTTTTAACCAACTTAAATTAGCTGGCCCACACCTTATAATATATTATTGATCTTTGCAAAGCTCACGTTATGCATGAATGCTATAAAATAATCCAAGCATGCAGATATATAAACAATGAATACATAGGTTGTCTCTCTCACTGGAGCAGATTAAGCCATCAATTATAAAAGCCATAGAGGTGGAGCTTCTTCTACCAATATAAGTTATCTCAATTGTTAAGAGCAACTTCTAGCTTGTCGCTGCAGATAACCATGAAAGTTGAAGTTAGGAGCAAAGAAATAGTGAGACCGTCCTCTCCGACACCTGAAAGTCTCAAGAATTACAAATTCTCTTTTCTGGATCAACTAGCTCTTAACGTCAGGCTTCCATTCGTCTTCTTCTACGTCTCAGGAAGAGCTTGTCATCATACCGACACCATTGATGAGCTGAAGAAATCACTCTCCAAAACCCTGTCTCTAATGTACCCGCTGGCGGGGAGGGCGAAGGAGGACAGGATAACAGTCGAATGTAACGACGAAGGGGTGGAGTTTATTGTGGCCGATGTTGCTGAAAACATGTCTTCTTTGCTGGAAAATTTTGAAATTGGGAAGATTAAGCAGCTGACTCCTTCTGCAAAGTTTTACGAGCCCCAACCGGTAGGAAAGGTTTTGCTGGCGATTCAGGTGAACCGGTTTAGATGCGGGGGAATAGCTATTGGGTTCTTCGTTTCACACGCCATTTTGGATGGTTCCTCCCTTGCCAAATTCATGGAAACCTGGGCGTCCTTCAACCGCGGCTGTGCTGTGATTAATGGAAGTGGATTCATTTCCGATCACTCTACCATCTTATTCCCTCCTTTGACGGATACTTCTGCTCTTGAAAGATCAGTAAGAATGGCCGCGGCGGCAGTGGAGCAGGAAGAGAAAAACATGGTTGTTAAAAGGTTCGTCATTCCTGCAACCGCCATAGCTCAACTCAAAGAAGAAATAACGGTTACCGGGTCAGTTCAACGCCCGTCTCGCACGGAGGCGTTAACGGCGTTAGTATGGGCGGCGGTGATAAACGCAAATCCAACTCAAACTGTCACGTTATCCTGCATGGTGAACTTGCGGGGCAGGATGGAGCCGCCGCTGCCGCCAAACTGTCTAGGGAGCTTAACCTACGGAGCCACCGTTAACTGCGAGGAAGCGAAAGACGGCGGCACCGTCGTAACCGCCCCTCAATTGGTGCAGAGGATACGCGATGCTCTCCGAGCTGTGGACGACGGAGCGGCGAGGAAGGTGTACGGCGAAGACGGGTTGTTGCGTGCGGTGTTTGCCGGAGGTGATGAAATATTGCTCAAGAAAGATTCTTGTTCAACGTTGTACACAAGCAGTCTGTGTAGAATGCCGTATTACGAAGTTGATTTTGGGTGGGGGAAGCCCAGACTGGTGGTGAATATGGTGAAGAATTATATGGTGCTTTTCTTAGACGCCATTAATGGAGGAGTAGAAGTGTTGACGGGATTGCCTAAGCAAGTTATGCACAGATTAACGCAAGACCCCCACTTTCTTGCCTATGTTTCTGGCTTTCCTAAACCAAAGCTATGATTGAATTCAACAACTAGTCATTTACTCATTTATTGGGTAACAATCACAATAATGTCTAATTTAAATAACATTTTAGTCATAAATAAAATCCAACCCCAACCCCGCACTAGAATTAATATTTATATATATAATTTGTTATCAGCAAATAAATGCCGGCAGTAACGCAAGTCTGGGAGATCAATGGTTCAACTTATTATTATTTTTATTATTAAAGATTGTAATTAACTAGTTTGCTTGTATTGTATTTAGATATTCGTTGTATTACATTTTGTAATTGTGTATTGAGGTTGAATGGGTTGGGTCCCAAATAGAGGCAGGTGTCATTTTGAGAAGCTGACTAACAAATTTAGGCAGGAATTAAACATGAAATAAATAAAATAAGACCTAAGTTATGAAGTATTATCTTTTAGATACATAATATATTTTAAAGATTGAAAAAAAAAAAAATAAACAGCCAAAGAAATTAGAGTACTTAATCCACCAAACCAAGCATAGGCGGAGCTAGTATGAGGGATTGAGGGCAGTAGAGGCCAAGAGGTTGAATCTTTGCTTGATTAATTGTTTTTCTCAAGTGAGTCGAAGTGGAGTTGAATAATAAGTGATTAAACACAAAATTATATAGTTTTTGGAAACTAACTCAAAGATATAAGAATAGAAATCATGAGAATCAAAGTAAATCAATGAGAAGAACAATTGAATTAACAATCAAATGGCAAAAGACAAAAGTTGAGCGAAAGATCAAGGAGTTGAAATCTTTACAAGTACATACACAACTTGTCCAATGCTTAGTACTTTAATCATATATATCTTAATGTAAAAATATCCAAATTAAGTGATTCTTGTGACATTAATTGAAAAGCCAACTCAGAAGAATACAACTTTCAGAAAGATCATCCAAAATAATTTTGATGTTATGTTAAAGTTGTAGAAAATAACATGGAAAGTAGTAGACTGCCTCTTGGACAACCATCCAAGAGGGTATATAGTATCCACCATTGGTCCAGAAAATTCAGTTTCTGAGCATTCTAGAATGAGTTGGACTGCTTCTTGGATTGTCGTTGTCCCTCATCACATCAAGCTGGCCTACTCTGCCACCTATTTAAGCACGAATTGAGTTTTAATTTTATAGTTTTGACCCATGGTTCATGATGTAGCAAAAATAAGATGTGAGCTCGAGTGTGTTATGTCGTCCTCAGGGGATTGGGGGATATGGCAAGCAATATGCAATCACAATAAACTAGGCACTAGCATAAGGAAATCAACAAGAAGCTAAGCAAACTACAAGTTTAAGGAAATGATAAGACTAACACATATACACAAAGATAAACACAAAAATAAAGAGATAGGACTCAAGCTAGGGAGCATTATCATCTAGATGCTTTAACAACCTAAGGGATTAGGGAGAACAAATAACTAAGGAAACAAGCGGGAATGCACGTAGGTATCCTAGTCTACGAACCATTCTCGTGATTAATAAACAAGGATTAGAACAAGGAATTGTCCACTTTCGTGGTGAATCAATTCCAAGTCCATCAAGCACACAAAGCATCTAAAGCCCCCAATTTCCCCTATTTTCGTAGGAAGAAATCGGGTCTATGCAAAGGGTGGCTTGGATTCATCACCCAACTCTCGTTGAGGCAAGGAATCCTCGAAAAACAAGCTAATGAATGTGTACATCAAACATTAACAAGATATAAATACAAAACCTTCACAAACACATGAACCCTAGGTTGGAGTTCTTCCCCCTTTTTGCAATAATCACAAATCAAGCATCAAGATAGATAACACAACCCTAACTCAAGTCCATAAACTAACTACTCATGATTAAATATCATAAAGAACACAAAAGCACAAGCATTAAACATAAATCTTGCAAAAGAAAGAGATGAAAGAAAGAAAACTTCTCTAAAGAAATTGGATGGTGGAATCTTGAAATGTTGGAATCCAAGCTTCAAATCCAAGATTACAAGCTTCAAAAGTGTTAAGAAACATAAATCTAAGCCTAATCTAACCTAAAAATATGAAGGAGAATAAAAGAGAGTGTCTAGGGTTCTAACAAAAGTCAAAACCGAATAGAAATGAGAGAAAACGGGGTTTAAAAGAGGCAGAGCAGGTTGGGATGGCCTCAGGGATGGGCGTACGCCAGGGGATACGATTTTTGGTGCATTTCCAGTGAAAACTGGATCAGGGAGAAGAGATGCGTACTGGCATGCGTATGGGCGTACGGCAGGGCGTACGATGTTTCTGGAAACAGAATTCTGTGCACTTGTTTTGACTTATATGCTATTTTCTTCTATAAAACCATTTTATTTGCACTTGTGGTCTTCAACAAAGTTGTAGCACTTTAAGTTGGCTTTCCAATGGTGCAAGAATCACTTCATTTGGACATTCCTAGATCGAGATATGGTCAGAAAACCGAACAGTATCCGAAATGAGCGAAAATTACAATGTCTTGATCTTTTGCTCCTCTTTTGTTTTGGTTTGCCCAAATGACTAAGACCATTGAATACACCACTCTTAGGCTCCCTTGGAAGTATTTTGTCCATCCTCTTAACTTCTCATTGGCTCCCATGGACTCCTAATGCATCCAAAATGCTCCATTTGACTCCAATGTCCACCAAAATGCCTGAAAATACTCATCTTTGTTTCCAAACAAAACTCCTTGCAAAATAATACAATTTAATCATAATCTCATGAAATTTGGAATGAACTATAGGCAAAATGACTTAGTGAAAGGGAGGAAAATATAGACAAATAAGCACTTATCAACTCCCCCACACTTAAACTTTTGATTGTCCTCAAGCAAAGACAAGAAATAAATCACCATCCTAGCAATGAAATTGATCATACTCCCAATTTGCACAACTAATCAAACCACAATCCAACTTGCTACAAAACAACTTGTTTCAAGAATCACCTTAGCTTGGCACACAAGTTCCATTCTCAAGCCAATAACCAAGCACCAAAATCATTAAAGTACGTGAGGATCAAGTGTGCACAAATGCTAAGTTGAGATTATGCAAAACTTGGCTTTGAATGAGATTCCATAGGCTTGCCCTTCATACTCCCACTAGTTCAACTCCAAGATTGCATGCTAAGATCAAATAGGACTTTTATTTGGCTTGTAATGGGGCTAAGGGTGAAAGGTTAACAAAGAAGGGGTAAAAAAAATAAACAAAGGAGAGAACTTCACATTTATTCACAATTGAGGCTAGAAGAGATATGACATTTATAAACTAATGAGCAAACAAGACTTAAGGACAAAACAAACCTCTAAAGTGGTGGGGGTTGAGTACAACTCTCAAAACAAACTTCAAGCTTTTATTCTTTTTTCTTTTCTTTTCATTTTTCTCATCTTTTTCTCAATTTACCCAACATCCTTTTTTTTTTTTTTTTCAAATCAACCAACAAACTTATTCAACGAATCAAGACCCCCACACTTAGACAAAATTATCAAGAGGATTGCTAACAAAACAAGCTCCAATAAAGATCTCTTCAAAGAAAAAGAATAAATGCTCTATTCTCTCAAGGGTGGAAGGAAATATTTTGGCTAGGGCTTAAGGGTTAAATGATGAGGGTTAACACAAGGAAAAACAATCACAATGTAGGGACAAGTGCTTAGCACTTATTAAACGAACACAAAAGGCTCAACGGGGACAACTAGTGGTAAACACATGTGTAAAGGGTAGGCTTGAAAGGCTCGGGCTAAACAAAAATGACCTAAATCATTTCTAAGCATGCAAACCTTAGACTTCACACGAGGAGTAATGAGACAAGTTCTAGCAAAACAACCATGACCGGAATCTCACATAAGCCTTCACTAGCAATGCATAACACACAAGATCAAGAATTGATTCAATTATTAAGTGGTTAACAAGGTTATTGACAAGAGAATAGATTAATCATGTATTACACCTTGGCTCATCAATCACAAGTTGAATTACAACAAGTTCCACCAAAACAAACCACCAACCAACAAAGAGGGAGTAATCACAACTTCAAGCAAGGAAAGACAATTTACCAAACACTATGCACAATGAGTCATCCAAGCAAAGTTTCAAAAATTTCAATTTTTTTTATAGAAAACACCCAAATTATCCCCTCCCCCCACACTTAAAGGATACATCGTCCTCGATGTGAAAGACAACAAAGAACAAGGGGGGGAAGGATAGCACAATAAGCACAAGGAGCACAATCTCTACTATCTACACCAAGTAAAGCACTATACACAATTAAAGAAAGTAGAGAAGGTAGATGAGACTCCCCTAATGAATCTTCTTGTGTCAAAGAATCATCATGAAGCCTTCTTGGAATTGAGCATACTCCTTGGTGTCAATCCTAGGAGTCAAGTGAACATAAACATGAAAGCACAAGTGAAAGCATGATATATTAAAAATAAAGTGTAAAGAAAAATAAAGAAGAAAGTAAACTGCAATAAAATAAAAGATAACATGGGGTGCCTCCCATGAAGCGCTAAGTTTAACGTCGCTAGCTCGACTCAACCTCTCAAGGAACTATCCATGCATGATTGGATGAAAATGAGTTTCTTTTCTCCATCCACTTTCTCTTCAATGAATGTCCTTAAATGTCGGGCATTAAGGAACTCCTTTAAGCTCAAAAGTAACATATTCTCCTCAAAGAAATTGCAATGATCCACTTCCAAGAATATGCCATCTTCTTCAATCATCATCTCTTTTTCTTCAACATTTTCTTCCAAATAGCACTTCAAGTGGTGGCCATCAATATGCTCTCTTAAGCTCAACATCACCACTTCAAAGCTTAAGAAATAATGTTCATCCAAATGAAACTTCAAGCATGCCCCTTCCTCAAATCCATTTTTAATCCACAAATCGAATGATGTCTTCTTTCTAAACCTTGGATCATGATAATACTCAAGAGCTTGATCATTCTCTTTAGTTCCACATCTTTTATCTTCTTGACATTTCCCATCTTGAATAAGCAAGGAGAACCTTGGGACTTTGTCATTCACAAATAAGAATTGGGAGTCCTTAGATATGAATATCGGCCAATGTGGGCCAACACCCGCAAAACCATTAACTCCTCCCGGTTCCCAAACTCTTCTAAAATTCTCAACATGATCCATTAAAGGGAGTTCCTCATTTAAACCTTGCATTCCCTCAACTACATTTTTCTTCAAATTCTCTTCAAATGGACAACTTTCAATGTGATCCTTGTCACCAACTTTCATATTTTCTTCCCTTTCTTCCTCAACACTCTCATATTTTGTTTCTTCCTCAACACCATCATTTTCTTGCACTTCTTCAATTGGATCATCTTCTAGTTGCTCCTTATCTTGCAAGTTTACACTTTCTCCCCAACTTGGTGTTTCCATCTCAATGCACTCATCATCTTCATCTTTATCTTTAAGGTCCTCACCCCGTTTTTTATTTTCTTCAACCACATGACCTTCATTTGGCAAGAGCAACTCTTGTAGAACATCTACATTGGAAGACAATTCTTGAACGGGTTCTTGAGTTGCCAAACCTTGTATTTGAGCCATCATGTTGTCTAGTAGAACTTGTTGCTCATTCATTTGCTTAAGCATGTTGGCCATCATAAACTTCATCTCGGATCTTGATCAAATGGTTGGCATTCTTGTTGAGGTTCTTGATAGAGGGGCTCATGAGGTTCCCATTGATTATTAGCATACTCTTCTTCAATCGGTCTCATGGGATAGCCATCATCCTCAATGTCACCATCGGGTACAATAGTGACTCCCCAACGCTTAGCTAATGCTAATGTCTCCTCATTTAATCCATTCCTCCTTACACTTGGTGAGCATTGAGTGGGTGGGGAAAAATGATTTAGAGATGAGCCTTGATGGTATGGATTTTGGGGTGGTGGAGGTGAGTTTGGTTGGTAAGAAGAGTAGGTGTAGTATGGAGATGTTTGTTGAGTGTGAGGGTATTGATCACATGAAGCATATTGGGGGTCTTGGAAATGGTAAAGTGAGTCTTGATAGGATTGTGGTGGGTAAGGATTTTGGAAGTTTGGAGTGTATTGAGAGTATGAGTTTTGGGCGTGGAATTGTGGTGGACAAAAATATTGAGATTGAGCATCATAGTAATTGTTAGGAGGTGGGGGTTGAGTGGGGTAAGGATCTCCATATCCATCATGTTGGTTACCCCCATAAGATTGAGAATCATAATATCCTCCTTGGAATGCATACTCATCCATGGTGAAAGTTCTTGATTGAGTGGTAAAAGCTCCTCCTTTTGAATCTAGAGCGTATGCACAAAGTATGGATCTTTCAACCGAAACTCAAACAAGGTAAAACAATTAGCTCTTTAAACAATAAAAACAAACAAAAAAAGAAAGAAAAAGCTTAGTCCCCTAAGATTCCTTATACTCTAATGCTAGTGAAACAAGTAATCACATAGAACCACCAAATTGCCAATCCCCGGCAACGGCGCCAATTTTTGATGTAGCAAAAATAAGATGTGAGCTCGGGTGTGTTATGTCGTCCTCAGGGGATTGGGGGATATGGCACGCAATATGCAATCACAATAAACTAGGCACTAGCATAAGGAAATCAACAAGAAGCTAAGCAAACTACAAGTTTAAGGAAATGATAAGACTAACACATATACACAAAGATAAACACAAAAATAAAGAGATAGGACTCAAGCTATGGAGCATTATCATCTAGATGCTTTAACAACCTAAGGGATTAGGGAGAACAAGTAACCAAGGAAACAAGCGGGAATGCACGTAGGTATCCTAGTCTACGAACCATTCTCGTGATTAATAAACAAGGATTAGAACAAGGAATTGCCCACTTTCGTGGTGAATCAATTCCAAGTCCATCAAGCACACAAAGCATCTAAAGCCCCCAATTTCCCCTATTTTCGTAGGAAGAAATCGGGTCTATGCAAGGGGTGGCTTGGATTCATCACCCAACTCTCGTTGAGGCAAGGAATCCTCGAAAAACAAGCTAATGAATGTGTACATCAAACATTAACAAGATATAAATACACAACCTTCACAAACACATGAACCCTAGGTTGGAGTTCTTCCCCCTTTTTGCAATAATCACAAATCAAGCATCAAGATAGATAACACAACCCTAACTCAAGTCCATAAACTAACTACTCATGATTAAATATCATAAAGAACACAAAAGCACAAGCATTAAACATAAATCTTGCAAAAGAAAGAGATGAAAGAAAGAAAACTTCTCTAAAGAAATTGGATGGTGGAATCTTGAAATGTTGGAATCCAAGCTTCAAATCCAAGATTACAAGCTTCAAAAGTGTTAAGAAACATAAATCTAAGCCTAATCTAACCTAAAAATATGAAGGAGAATAAAAGAGAGTGTCTAGGGTTCTAACAAAAGTCAAAACCGAATAGAAATGAGAGAAAACGGGGTTTAAAAGAGGCAGAGCAGGTTGGGATGGCCTCAGGGATGGGCGTACGCCAGGGGATACGATTTTTGGTGCATTTCCAGTGAAAACTGGATCAGGGAGAAGAGATGCGTACTGGCATGCGTATGGGCGTACGGCAGGGCGTACGATGCTTCTGGAAACAGAATTCTGTGCACTTGTGTTGACTTATATGCTATTTTCTCCTCTAAAACCATTTTATTTGCACTTGTGGTCTTCAACAAAGTTGTAGAACTTTAAGTTGGCTTTCCAATGGTGCAAGAATCACTTCATTTGGACATTCCTAGATCGAGATATGGTCAGAAAACCGAACAGTGTCCGAAATGAGCGAAAATTACAATGTCTTGATCTTTTGCTCCTCTTTTGTTTTGGTTTGTCCAAATGACTAAGACCATTGAATACACCACTCTTAGGCTCCCTTGGAAGTATTTTGTCCATCCTCTTAACTTCTCATTGGCTCCCATGGACTCCTAATGCATCCAAAATGCTCCATTTGACTCCAATGTCCACCAAAATGCCTGAAAATACTCATCTTTGTTTCCAAACAAAACTCCTTGCAAAATAATACAATTTAATCATAATCTCATGAAATTTGGAATGAACTATAGGCAAAATGACTTAGTGAAAGGGAGGAAAATATAGACAAATAAGCACTTATCAGTTCAGCTCTAATTATTTTCTACTCATTCAATTCCTTTCATATTTTAGGGTTAGATTACACTTAAATTTAGTTCGTATTGTTTTTGGATATTGATTGTATTACATTAGTTTAATTACGTAGACATAGGCCTTTTTTATTTGAGCAACTGAGATATGGGTGTTACAAGTATTACATTTTTTTTCTCAAAAGTATTATATTTTTCCTAAGTAACAAATACCTTATTCCCGATTAGTATTACATTTATCAATATAAATATTATATTTACATCTTGACTCCACTCGTCTCAAGAATAAGAATTCATGAGATGTTATATTATGGTTTGACTTTGTGTGGAAACAGTCTATTGACCCGATAAAATTACAATGTGAAATTTACTCAATACACATTCTCAAATAGTGATTGTAACTTTCGCTCCTAAGTCGTATAACCCAAAAGAAAAAAAAAAAAAAAAAAAAAAAAAAAAAAAAAAAAGATGTTTTTTTCTTTCCCTTGAAGTGATTAATATAACAAGCTCCAGTGCTCCACATAATTTTTACACCTTAATAATTAACAACGTAGCCATTACGTATAATATATTTGTCAGTTCTTTTTAAAGGTTGTAACATGGTTTAAAATTATGTTTACTTTGCATATAGACTCTGGTTCAGAGTACAAAATAATGTCATTTTGTTCAAATTAGTACAATTTGTCTTTTTTTGAACACGATTGACTCTATTATAAAGTATTATCTATTTTATATTTTCTCTAATTATTGCAGCATTAAGAGTTAAATTCTCCATTGCCAGAGTTCGATCCTGTTACCTCCCCAAAGGGGCTGCCATCTAAGCACATCTTTCTAAATAAATATGATTCACATTGTTGTACGTATTTATGATAATTGAAAATTTTATTTGCACACGGATAAATGTCTCGGAGCCCACATTTACATACATTAATAGTTCTAGTCAATTACACTAAATTGTTGCGTTGATATAATCTATTTTTTATTAAATAAAAACGACAAGAAAACTTTATTTAAACATAATACAATACATTTAAATAAACATGACCAATCACTCCATCCAAACTTACACTAACTACCAATTAATGCTAGATTAAGGAGTACCATCCAACACAAACAAGTTAAAGTTGTACGGACTTTGTGGTCTGCTGGTACCAAGTTACTTTCTCATATAGGAGGTTGTGGGTTTGAGTTTTAGTGGAGACAGATTATTATTGGCTTTTTGTGCTTCAGTGGGTTAAGAAAGTAGTTATGAATAGAAAAAAAAAAATGATACTTTCAATTTTTACGAATTAAAAGTTGTAGCCCTTTGAGTTAGTTTTCAATTAATTTTGAAATTCTTAAACCATTTCGCTCAAATTTTGTCTTGGTTTATGTTCATTTTATTAAAACTATTGAAAATACCACTCTTTGATTTTCAAGAGGTGTTACGTTGTATCCTACTCCATTATATTACTTATTTACTTAGGAGGTGTATTCAATCATGACTTTTATAGAGTTTTAAAGACTTTTAAAATGATAGATTTTAATAAACTTTGATTGACTTTCATAGAGTCGTGCAAAACTTTTTAAAACTTTATAAGACTACTCTATAAAAGTCTATATAAAAAACATTCATAGACTTTTATCAACTTTTTATTTTAAAAAGTCTACACAAGTCATTGAAATTTTAAATTGAATACATCCTTATCATTTACAATTTTCTTACAAAACATTTATAATATATTATAAAATCTTTTTATTATATAGTTCTTCACCCACATCAACATTCTCAACATTATTATTTTTATCCATAGTATGTTGAGACTTATATGCTAATTACTTATATATATATTATTAATAAACATCAACAAAAAAAAAAAAAAAACAAAAAAATTATTTCATTAGAAATTCATAACAATATTGAACAATAAAATTTATAATAAAAGACTTTATCAAATAAAATATTTAAAAATATAATTACAAGTTGCATAAAAAAATCTAATATTAATAATGTATATAAAATTATATATACTTGATATATTGCTAGGCATCACTCAAAGAACTATTATTTGCAATAGCAATTTGAGACTGAAAACAACGACAAGGTGCTACTGTTTGCAACCCTAAACTGTTGTTGCGAACAGTAATTCGCTATTCGTAGTAACCTGTTGTTAAAATATATATATATATATATATATATATATATATATATATATATATATATATATATATTACGAATATAAACATAAAAAGAATAAAAATCAAAATATATAAGTATTTATATGAATATTATGAAACATATACTAAAATTTGATGATGAAAATTTTGCTTTATTCATGTATTTAGGGAGAATTAGAGAAAGTTAGGGATAAAAAATTCATAGCAAAAAATAAAAATTAATATAAACAAGCAATAATGAAGTAAAAATAATATTATTTCGAATTTTTAGATGAAGATTCTAAAGTTTAGGAGAGAGAGAAAAATTGGTAGAGTTTAGACATGAGGAAAATATAGGATAATGAAGAAAAAAATAATTTTATTGAATTTAGATAGGTTTATAGAGTTCCGGGTTGGACTTCCATTTGGAAGGTTGTGAGTTCAAGCCTCAGTGGAGGCGTTATTGGTTCTTTGTGTTTCAGTAGGTTGAGAAAGTATATGAACAGATACTACAATGTAATAGGGCCAGTAACATTCAAAAAAAAAAAAAAAAAAAAAAAAAAAAGATAGGTTTATAGAGTTCAAATAGGGAGAAAAAAACAAAGTTTAAATAGAGAGAGAAAAAGGGAGTTTGAAATCTTGGGGTTGATGGTTGGATTTAACTATTTATATTTGAGAATGAAAAGTCTACAAAAAGTCTTAAAATTAAAAAGTCCACAAAAGTTCATAACTTTTTGAATACCACGTGACTTTTAAAGACTCTTTAAAAGTGTTAATCGAATACCACACAATTTTTAAAGACTCTTTAAAAATATTGATTCAATACAGCATGACTTTTAAAGACTTTCTAAAAGTTTGAATTGAATATCTCCAAACTTTTAAAGTTCATAAAAATCTTTAAAACTCTATGAAAGTCATGATTGAATACACCCCTTAATCTTGCTCCCATGAACTCCAAAATGCATCCAAAACGGTTCAAATTAAAAATATAATTCAATTAATCCCAATTCAATCATCAATAATTGCACCTAAACATACTAATGAATGAATAAGCAACACTTTGGCCCAAATTGTAACAAATGGACAAAAAAAATAAGCTGGTGAAAATATGAATAATTAGACACTTATCCTAAAATAAAAGAGGATGATTTATTTGATAGCATTACTTTTTATAATATATGGATCATAGCTTAGCGTGAAAAATGGTTGTTACCGTATAAGAATCAAATAACCACGTAAAGCATGAATGCAATAAAATAATAAAGCCATCAATTATAAAAGCTAGCCATAGTGGTGGAGCTTTGTTCTACCAACATAATCTTATCGCATGCATCTCAGTTGTTAAGATCAGATAGAGCAACTTCAATTCATTTCTAGCTTTTATAGTATCGGATATATATATAGCAGCCATGAAAGTTGAAGTTGAGAGCAAAGAAATAGTGAGGCCATCTTCTCCCACTCCTGAAACTCTCAAGAGTTACAAACTCTCTTTTATGGATCAACTAGCTCTCAACGTCAGGGTTCCATTCGTCTTCTTCTACGACTCCCCCGCCATTTCTCATCATACCAATACCATTGATGAGCTGAAGAAATCACTCTCCAAAACCCTGTCTCTAATGTACCCGCTGGCGGGGAGGGTGAAGGAGGACAAGGTAACAATTGAATGTAACGACGAAGGCGTGGAGTTTATTGTGGCTGATGTTGCTGAAAACATGTGTTGTTTGCTGGAAAATCCTGAAATGGAGAAGATTAAGCAGCTGATTCCTAGTGGAAAGGTTTACGAGCCCCAACCGGTAGGGAAGGCACTGGTGGCGGTTCAGGTGAACCGGTTTAGCTGCGGGGGAATGGGTTTTGGGTTTTTCGTTTCGCACGCCATAGCCGATGCTTCCAACGTTGCCACCTTCTTTGAAACTTGGGGATCCATCAACCGCGGCGGCGCTGTGAATGGAAGTGGATTCGTTTCCGATCAGTCCAGCATCTTATTCCCTCCTTTGACGGATACTTCTGCCCTTGAACGAGCAGTGAGGATGGCGGCGGCGGCGGTGGAGCAGGACGACAAATACTTGACTGTTAAAAGGTTTGTCATTCCCGCCAACGCCATAGCTAACCTCAGAGAAGATTTAACGATTACCGGGTCAGTTCAACGCCCGTCTCGCACGGAGGCGTTAACGGCGTTAGTATGGGCTGCTGTGATAAACGCAACTCCTCACCAAACTGTCACGTTATCCTGCATGGTGAACTTGCGGAGCAGGATGGAGCCGCCGCTGCCGCCCAACTGTCTTGGGAGCTTGGCCTACGGAGCCGACGTTCACTGCGAGGAGGCGAAAGATGGCGGCACCGCCGTAGCCGCCGTTCAATTGGTGCAGAGGATACGCGATGCTTTCCGATCTGTGAACGACGGAGCGGCGAGGAAGGTGTACGGCGAAGGAGGGTTGTTTCGTGCGGTGTTGGCCAGAATTGATGAAATATTGAGCAAGAAAGATTCTTGTTCAACGTTGTTCACAAGCAGTCTGTTTAGAATGGCGTATTACGAAGTTGATTTTGGGTGGGGGAAGCCAAGACTGGTGGTGAATATGCTCAAGAATTCAACGGTGATTTTCTTAGACGCCGCCATTAATGGAGCTGTGGAAGTGTGGATGGGATTGCCTAAGCAAGTTATGCACACATTAATGCAAGACCGCCACTTTCTTGCCTATGTTTCTGGCTTTCCTAAACCAAAGCTATGAATCCAACAACTAGTCATTTACTCATTTATTGAGTAACAATCATAATAATGTCTAATTTAAATAAAATTCAACCCCCCACTAGAATTAATATTTATATATATAATTAGTTATCAGCAAATAAATGCGGGCAGTACCGCAATACATTTTGTAATTGTGCATTGAGGTGGAATGGGTTGGGTCCCAAATAGAGGCAGATGTCACTTTGGGAAGCGACTGGCACATTTAATCAAGAATATACCTAATCCACCAAACCAAGCCATATGATGATCGATTAGAATTTAAATGCAATCTTATTGATAATGTTCTAATCAAACTATCAACACATAGAGCTGTCACGTTCACAGCTCGGTGAGCATTCACAGGAGGGAACATGTCTCTAAACAAACAATTCATCCCATAGTAGCTTTAATTGTGTGAAGTAATCATTTACAAAGGATATACCTTGCCTTGTCTGATGTAGTTGGGAAAAAGACTAGAATGTGCGGTCAACAAGCCCAAATTCCCAAAATGTGTCGTATTTTTTTTTTTTTTTTGACAACAATATGCAAAACTCCTTTTGGAGTTGCGTTTTTGGTGTATTTTGTATTTTTCATGTATTTGTGTAAAACGCAAGAGGCAGTTGCGTTTACGTATTTGTATACTTAAAACGCAATACGCTCTTGCGTTTTTCAGCGCATACGGTATCCCCTGAAATTGTTCCGTGATACTTGAAGAAGAAAAGATATGTGTTTTTATACGTTAATTGAATTAAGCACCAATTTAGTTGATTAATTAAACTTGTTCAAGTAAGTTGAATTAATAACTGCAGAAAGCATAAATAAAAATAAAAACACCAGGAAATTGTTACGTAGTTCGGAGCTCCTTCTCCTACGTCTGCGGGGCAACCCACGTCTGCCCAATCCACTATAGATGTTCACCAAAGGAGTATTACAAGAGGTAATTGAATACGGCCTCCAGCCTTTACCACTTCCACTCTTTCTAACACCTATCTAGGATTGACAGACGAAAACCCGAACAATCTTCACAAGTTGCTTCAGCAGTACCACGTACTGATCATGCAGTACAATAAATATTCTAACGAATTAAACCAGAGAATACATTCAGAAATATAATAGGTTTGTAAAATCGAGAGAACTCTTGGCAGTATGTAATTCGCAAAGTTGGCAGTAGATGTCTTCGAACCATGTGTATTTATAGCCCTCTTCATAAGCTTGTTTGTCTTGATCCACCAATATAGCCAATCCCTTAGCAACACACTGTTCGAACGCTTCTCATCCATTCACTTAGAAAGCTTATTTGTGGACTCTAAAAACACAATGATTGCTGTCCACTAATTTAGTTGTTTTCCACTAGTTTATCTCACGTGGTCCACAAAGCAATACTAATTAAATTAAAACAAATACTAGTAGACCAACAAATAAAATTGCCAATGGTTGTAGCAAAAATGAGATGTGGTGAGTGTACGGGTGTGTTATGTCGTCCTCAGGGGATTGGGGGTTATGGCACGCAATATGCAATCACAAGAAACTAGGCACTAGCATAAGGAAATCAACAAGAAGCTAAGCAAATCATAACGAGATTGAGGCTACGCTAACTAAACAAAGTAACACAAACACATATTAACAAGATGTAAACACGAAATAAAGAAATAGGACTCAAGCTAGGGAGCATTATCATCTAGATGCTTCAACAACCTATGGATTATGGAGAACCAATAATAAAGAGTCAATCGGGAATGCACGTAGGTATCCTAGTTTATCAACCACTCTCGTAAGCAATAAACAAGGATTAGAACAAGGAATTGCCTCACTTTCGTGGTGAATCAATTCCAAGTCCATCAAGCACACAAAGCATCAAAAGCCCCCAACTTCCCCCATTTTCATAGGAAAAATCGGGTTTATGCAAGGAATGGCTTGGAATCCTAACCCAACTCTCATTGAGGCAAGGAATCCTCCAAAAACAAGCTAATGAATGTGTACATCAAACATTAACAAGATATAAATACAAAACCTTCACAAACACATGAACCCTAGGTTGGAGTTCTTCCCCTTTTTGCAATAATCACAAATCAAGCATCAAGATAGATAATACAACCCTAACTCAAGTCCATAAACTAACTACTCATGATTGAATAGCATAAAGAACACAATAACACAAGCATGAAACATAAATCTTGCAAAATAAAGAGATAAAAGGAAGAAGAACTTATGTATTGAAAATGGAAGAACAATCTTCAAATGTTGGAATCCAAGCTTCAAATCCAAGATTACAAGCTTCAAAAGTGTTAAGAAACCTAAATCTAAGCCTAATCTAACCTAAAAATATGAAGGAGAATGAAAGAGGGTGTCTAGGGTTCTAACAAGAGTTAAAACCAAGAAGAAATGACCAAAATCGGACTTTAAAAAGAAGACAGAGCACATTGACACGGCCAGGGACATGGCCATGTCCCTGGCCGTGTCCAAAATAGCAGTAGCTACTGGAATGCACAGAAAATACACGGCCACAGACACGGCCGTGCACTTTGCCGTGTATTTTGTCCTTCAAAACGTCAGATTTTGGAATTATGGTCTTCATGAAAGTTGTAGCCCTTCGAGTCTTCTTTCCAATGGCGCAAGAATCACTTCATTTGGACATTCCTAGGCTGAGATATGGTCCAAAAACCAAACGGTAGTCAGTTTTGGTTTGTCAGTTTGGAACTTCAACTTCAAGGACAATTTGGACCCCTGTGGCTTCCTTTTTAGACTTTGATGTATTTATAAGAATTGTAGCCCTTTGAGTCTTCTTTCCAATGGAACAAGAATCACTTCATTTCAACACTCCTAGGCTGAGATATAGTCAAAATACCGAACAGTGGTCGAAATGAGCGAAAATTGCAATGCATTGATCTTTTGCTCCTCTTTTGTTTTGGTTTGCCCAAATGACCAACACCATTGAAAACACCACTCTTAGGCTCCTTTTGAAGTGTTTTAGCCATCCTATTAGCTTCTCCTTGGCTCCCATTGACTTCTAATGCATCCAAAACGCTCCATTTGACTCCAATGTCCACCAAAATGCCTGAAAATACTCAACTTTGCTTCCAATGCTTTTCAAACCAAACTCCTTGCAAAATAGCACAATTTAGTCCTAATCTCATGAAATTTGGAAGAATATATGAGCAAAATGGCCTAGTGAAAGGGGAAAAAATATAGACAATTAAGCACTTATCAGCCAATAGTGTAAAAAATATTTTACACTTACAATCTCCCCCTTTGCCATTTTATTTGGTAAACTTGAGTATCAAATACTTTGGGCAAGATTAAAAACAATTTTTATTTATGGCCCTCAGTATAGGTACTTTAACAAAACAGAAAAAACAACAAAAAAAACAATTAACAAATTAATTTTTTTTTTTCGGACCACATGTGAGTTTAGAGCCTGATTGATATACTTCAAATCTTGAACCACATGCATACATAGAACCATAGCATACCAAATAATTGATTTACTTGAGCAGATATCATCCAAAAGATTATAAAGTTAGTTAGGTGCACCAACACTGCATTTACTCCCCCTAACTAATGTCAATCCATTATTTCCTTACTAGCATAAACAACCTTCCAAAAATAGCTAAACCAAAAACCAGTATTGTAGCAGTCAAAGCACTTCCAAAATAAACAACCTTCCAAAACTTCCGTAATACTCCCCCTTACTCCTAACTCCCCCTTTTGCCAAAGAAAATGACAAAGGCAGGTGAACATCAAAATAGTGGATCAAAATTACCGTGCAGACGGGGTGCCCGAGTCAGAGTCATCGTCTCCCTCTTCAGAGTCAGAACCCGAGGTAGCAGCACCAGTGTGTGCAATAATCTGAGCGTGAATAGCTTCCATACGGGTGATTTCCTTGAGCTGCATATCCCGAAGATTTTCCAGGCCAGCGATGGTGGCTTGTTGAGAGGCAACGGACTGTTGAACTTGTGCAATGGAGGCCTCAAGAGTGAGCAGAATCTGCCGACGATCAACCAAAGTAGTGGGTTCTTTGGGAATCCGTTTAGCGCCTGGACGAGAGGCCGAAGCAGTGTCAGCCGAAGAAGCCGGGGCAGAATGCAGTGGTGCCGGAGGTGGAATGACCGGAAGAAGAGCCAGAGACGCCCGATCATCATAATGGCCCCGTTGAGTGAGTCGATCATCAAAGAGATAGGCATTGTCGGGAGTTGTAAGGACTTCCTCCTTATACGGTTGAAAGCCGTGATCTTGAAGGACTCCGAAGATCAAACATGGAAACGGGAGATGTATTTTGGCCTCCTTTTTTTCTGCAAAAAAAGACATTAAATGAGAGAAAATAACCATGCCAAGGTTGAATGGAAGACGGTTCCGGATTTTGTATAGGAGTCCAGCTAGTTGTTCAGGAATTTGGTGACGACGCACGGCCGGGACCCAATTCGCGGAAGCTAGACGCAAAAGCACAGAATAAACCGTGGTGAGCTTCAAACTGGAAAGGCCATCTCTCGGCCAAGAGACATATTTATTGTGTGTGAGAGCTGCTGCGAGCAAATGTGGACTCGGGTCTGGAGACGCCGGATGATTTGGTGTGCCTAAGTACGCATTAATCTCCGTAGGTCCAAAGGGATACCATATGCCTCGAATAAAGACTTGATGAAATCTCGCAGATCCTTCAGTAAATGTCTCCAATGTCAAATTTGTGTAAAACTCCGCTGTAAGCCAAGTGGAATACGGACCAACATGCCGGAGAGACGCAAGTAAATGTTGATCACGTAGCAACGGAATAATGTCACACTTGGCAGCTAAATCCTCTTCATTTATGGTCTTTTCAACAATGAAGTCCCGGTGAACATGAGTCTGCCATACCTCCAGTAGTTCGGGTGAAAGCAGCCTGGGTTTATAGACTTTGCCAGAGCTCTTTGACTTCGAACCTGATGACTTAGGAATAATAGGTGGAGCAATAGCAGCTCGGGATCGAGTGATTCTAGGCGGCAGTGTGGGTCCCCTTTTTTGGTGTTTTCG